TTCAAAGAATTAATTCGTTCTGCCAATTTGTTATCCTTCTCCATAGCCTGACTTAACTTAAAAGTTACTATACTAGCAAATGGAAGATCTTCTATATACTTCTTGAACCATTTTTCAGATAATATACCATTGGGGAAAAGATCAGAATTCGTATTAAATGGTGAAAGAATGGAATGTTCATCTTCCTTTGTCTTACTTTTAGTTCCTTCAGGTAATTGATATTGAGGTGTATCAATTACTTTAATCCTATATTTAATATTCAGGAGTCTATTTTTAATAATGGAGTTGTCCCATATAGCGTCTTTAATGTTGAATTGATCAAAGGTTTTAACCAAGTTCGAAACAACTTCAGACGATTCTTCAATTTGAAAAAATAAAAGAGGCACTAATTGCTGAAGAAATAACGGATTGTAGTTCTCCATTGTCTAACCCCTTTTCTATTTACTTATCGAGTAGGAAGTGATAATTAGAGCGTTTGATAAAGAAAGGGCAGTTAGTTTTGTGATACTTTGAAAAAATATGAGGTAGGATTTATAAATCCTACGATTTTACTATAATTTAATTTTCTCTTTATCTTATATTATTAATCATAATACTAAACTAAGCATGTCAGACCCTATAAATGCTAACCCTACGGTTATAGATGTTTCAAATTTGCCTACGAGGTTCGATGATTCGGAAATCCATGAGAAAGAGGTGGCAAGAAATACCGAATTAGTCGATAAAATATTATCACTTTCTTTATTGAATCAAGGTAGTTTAATCCATAATGATACTGAATCAGTGCCCGATCTAGTTTCTGATGCAGAAGTTGATACATCATCCATGGAAGAGGAATTAATAGATGAAACTGATGGCCAGGAAGAAGAAGAGGTGATTGATGCGCAAGAAATATTTGATTTAATTTCTACTATTTCAGATCCAGAACATCCATTAACATTGGCTCAGTTGGCGGTGGTTAACTTGGTAGATATCAAAGTAACACATGGAGCAAACAAACATACTGATATCTCCGAGATTTTGATTAAAATAACACCAACCATTACACATTGCTCATTAGCAACTCTTATTGGATTGGGAATCAGAGTGAGGTTAGAAAGATGCCTCCCACCACGTTTCCGGATAATTATCCTTATTAAAGAAGGCACACACCAGTCTGAGAACCAGGTGAACAAGCAGTTAAATGATAAAGAAAGAGTTGCAGCTGCTTGCGAAAATGATCAATTATTAAGTGTTATCCTGCAAATGTTAAGTACATGCAAGTGATGCCAATTACAATCGCAAATCAAATCAAGTTAGGATAAACGGAGTTATGGGATAATTAAATAATAATACTAATAATAATACATATACATAAATAAATAATAATTCGTCATTAAACAACCAATCAAGACTTTTGATAGAAGTTATAGGCCTTTCGCTGCCCATATAGTATAATCATCTGACTTATATCGATGAATATAAATTTCACCACGTATTTATTAACGAATTCAAGAATTTTGACTAAATCATAAGATTCTTGTGAATGATCTAAGTGCTTAATAACTCTTCTTGTTAAGAACTTGAGCCTTTTCATTTGCGAATAATATTCAAATTTGTCCCGCTGATTCTCCTGCCTTTGGATGGCAGTTAATATTGGGAGCTGATCCACCTTTGGGGACGGTATGGCTAATATTCTACCTTCAGTTATTTCCGGGGATGCGAACGATGAACTTCCTCTTCTTCTTGAATTATACGAGTTATTTGTCACAGTTGTGCTAACACTGTTTCTATTGCTATATGGTGTATTTGAAGGAGACGAAATGTTTGATGTCACCGATCCAGTCAGACGATGCTTTTTCAATTTATTGTAAATTCTCGACTTTGTTAAGATATTGTTAAGTCCCTGCTTTCTTTCCTCTTCATTCTTAACAGTTCCATTAGGATATATGATGCCATTTGCGTCATTGGTGTCGGTTGACTGACCACCTGTAGACAGAACTCTGTTCTTCGTTGACATCGAAGAATTTCTTCTGCTTGAATACCCATTGAATATAGAAAACCTCGTTTTCAGTGAAGCTGTGGAAATATTGGTCTGAGTCCGACTGATATCATTTGAATCATAAAGACTAGCTTCATCCTCGTCATCTTCTTCCTTCAAGGAATCACCAATTGAATCATGACGCGATTCGTCTTGTTGACAAGGGACTTCGTACACCTTAAACGCAGTAAGCAATTTTTGGTAATAATTTATAATGGTGTCATCTATTTGTACAACCTGGTCAATCGTCCCAGGTAATTCTTTTTCAATCATGTTGTTGATCTCTAATAACATATTGGACTTTATTTTGATGTCTTTAATTGTAACCTCCCCCTTGAGCCATGTATCATGAGGTAAATAAACCCTATTTAATACCTCTATAGGCTCCCTATTCATAATGAAGTGTCTACCTTGCTCCTCAGTCTGTAGAATAACATTCTCGTCAGATACATTCAAAACCTTCGATAAAAATAAGTACATCTTTTTATACTTTGCAGTATCCACAGGAATCGAAAGCGAAAGTGATTGAAAAGCCTGATTAGTATCAGAATGCTTCATTGCAAGCGACATCTCCTAATGGTATTTTTTAACTTTGTTAACAGCTGCAAACTATTGTAAACAGTTTGATTAACTACTTTATCGATAGACCTAATTTTGATTTTTCAACCGCGACATAAAATTCCGTTTCGAGTTAAATTAACAATGCAATGCAATTTATACTCTTCTGCAAGCGATGTTCTCATCATCAAAGAAACCTAGGTTTAATCTAGACTTATCGATTCATGAGATATCTAACATACCGCAGGTAAATGGTTATTGTTACATTGATGTTGAGGTGAGGGATGGTAAAAAAAGAAAACCACACCTTTTGCTGAAAGCATCTTCGAATGATATTGGCAATTCAAATTCATCATTAGATAAATTTGAAGGGTCATATTCATCCAGTGATGTATCCACATCTACGACTATGAAGAAGATTCATAATTTCAAGTGTAAATTTAATTTCAATATGAATTGCAATTTAAAGTTCTCGGTGAAGAAGAAGAATAATCGAATTTCCAGCAAGTATTTGCTTATGAAGGTATACTATGTGACTGAAGAAGACGTAAAACATAAAGATCATGAAAGGATTGTGTCTCATCGAGGGCACAAGATAGAATTGGGTAGACTAGAACTCAATTTATCGGAATACATAAATGTTGAAGAGCCCCTAACTTCGAAATATTTAATGAGCAACTCAAAAGTTAATTCGATTTTGAATTTGACAGTTTTTTTGAGTGAATTGCCAGACGGCTATGACTTTCATACTCAATTACAAGTGAGTGATGAAAGTGCACATCCGTCGACATCCGCATCTTTGAACAGAACCAATAAAAAAGTACAAAGTAAACCAGCAAAGAATAAAAATACGAAATATAATGCACCGAATTTAGAGCGGACTAAAATATTTGGAGGTCTTAATGATGTTATAAAGTCTTCTGATACTACTCCACTGGCTAATCTGTCTACATCATCTATACCGAGTGATGATTCTGACAAGCAATCTCAAGTGAAGCAAAATCATGGTCCATCTAGTAGAGCAGATATACATGATTCTGAGTCTACCACTTCTAAAAAACGTTCTAGTGGAGAACACGGAACTACAGCATCGAATGTAATGAGCTCCGCTAATATAGTAAATGAAACTAGGAATGCTAATGTCATGATGGACCCTATTGTGAGTAACTTATACCGCAAAATCCTCGAGTCCACATGGGACCCAGAATTGCAGGATTTATTACAGTTTACACCTGAAGAATGTATTAGTGATATATTTGATAATGATGGGGATGGGTGGAACAAATCCGTATCTCAAAATTTCGGCAGCTGGTCAGACGAGAATAATGATGATGAAAGTATAAAGAATATCAATGGGTTAATTAATGAAGCTTCTTTCAGAGAAGATTTACGGAGTTGGACTATAAATGATATTCGTCCTTGAAGTGAAACAACTAACTCGACAGTTATGTATAATATAGATAATTATGGCTATGTAATTTTTAATAACTTAATTTTTCAATTGCCCAAAGACGATAATAATGCCAAAGATTTAACTCTGTTGGTAATTTTAAGCAAACTTTTTAATGCTTTATCAACATTTGCGCCTTCTATTTGCTGAGCACTTGCATACTTTAGAATTGAAGGGAAATGAATCGAATAGTAATCCAAGAAAACTTTTTCAGTATCCAAAATGGGTTCATTGGTATGGTCATTCTGAACAGTCCCATAATCATCCATAACACCATTCAACAAACAAGCCAAGCTACTCTCAACATTATACGAGTCACTCTGTAAATTCCCTCTCTGGTACGAGTTGGTTTGGGGATCTTTTATTTCAATATTTTCACAGTAATAATCTCGGTTTTTTAAAGGTGATGATGTATATGGCAAATATTTACAATGTTGACAGTTCTTAAATTTGGACTGGTGACACAGCTTCTTATAACACCTAAATTTTCTAGTATCGTATTTGCCTTTGAATTTTCCCAAAGGAATTAGGAGAGTTTTTGGGGCATATGATTCATTGAATTTGATCTCTTGCTTACTAGGGTCACTTGTACCCTTAATACGTACACAATTATTAGGCAAATTGCAATTTAACAATTCAGGTATAAATGTATTCATTGGTGGTCAATCAAGCAAATGTATGTTAGCAACGTAGCTGTTTTCAAAACGGTTAGTATGTCATCAAACATATATATATATTTTTTGCACCCGGGGTTCTGTGGTATATTTTCTCACACAAAGGTTTTAATTACAATAGCATTAAATGATCGCAAAGGCCTTATACTGGCTGACCACACAAGCAGAGCATAATACCTGTATGGGCAATTCTATAGAATTAAAAAAAAATTCACGTAATATTATAGTACATAATCTATTTGTTAAATCGTAAACCTCACCATTATTAATGATTGGAAAATTCCTAAATTAAATTCAACTAAAATTTGCTTTGGTTAGCACCATTACCTTGGCCTTGTCCGTGACCTTGTCCATGACCATGACTACTATAACTATGTCCTTGATTTTGGTTTTGGCTTTGATTTTGGTTTTGGTTCTGACGACGGTTATTGTATCCACCATTTCTGTTATTATTTTGATTGTTGTAGTTTCTCCTGTTATTGTAGTTTCCACCTCCCGTTCTTCTCCTTTGATTTCTGTTTCTTTGTTCCATATTCAAGATATTTTGTTCTTTGGCATAATCCATAATCTATATATTGTTAGTAAAACTTCCCCCGAATCATTATTTGTCAAAAAAATGTTATCCATATAAGAGCTATATGTACAATCATTCTTATGAATCTTCGACTTAAACATACCTCTTCTGGTAATCTCAAATATTTAATATGGTTACCTCTAATGTAACATTCTGGTAATTTGACAAATGTTTCTCCATTTGAAGATGACTGAATTACGTCCTTTAAAGTTAAGTTCATCCATGAGTCACAATTAACTAATTGTCCGTTTAAACTCTCCCCATTCTTTAATTCAACTAAAATAGGTTGATTCTTAGCTGATGTCAACAAATATAATGGCAACTATAAAAGTGTTAGAATCTTTCCTCAAAAAATATTACGTTTCATAAGTCTGTCTCAATAGCTCATTACACATACCATGATATGATTATTTTATGCTTATACTTTGAATCTCTTGTTCTTTAAACCTAGTACTTCTCGTTATGTTAATCCAGCAAATTTCGATGTTGAGAATCAATTGGGTAACACACTACTCTCTTGATACTATAATGTTCATTTAGATTTATTAATGAATTGAAGTATATAAAGAAGTATAGAATTGAAGTAAATGAACACTATATATGAAGGAGAAGAAACACAAATAATAGAAACAAAATATATAAACTACTTTTCAATTACAAGTTGTAATGTTGACATATTGCGAGAAATAGAATCAAGTTGCGTCATCAGTAGGTGGAACTGAATTTCCTCTTAATGTTAATGGATAAACATTAGCATCTTCGGTGTCATCATCGTCTTCATTCTCTCCCAATTTAAATCCAATATAGTCGTCCGTATTTAAGGATTGATGAGCCTCTTGCAATGAGCCCAAATCACCAGGAGTCATGATGCCAACCTTACTTCTTGGGGAACCAGGAACAGATAATGGTCTAGTTAATTTTAAATTGGAAGTATTGTTGAAGGGGTTTGCACCATTCTTGAACTTATCAGGATAAGCTCTTTTCAACGACAATTGTCTGGCCTTAATATACTCCAAGCCCATTCTCTTCCAATCTAATAAATCTGATAATCTTTCTGTTCTATTTCTTTGGTTGATTCTTTGTCTTCTTGTCTTTTCGGCAAAGTCGAACATATAGTCAGTCAACTGGTTGATGGACTCATCGACCGCTTTCATTCTTCTGTCAACAATGTAAATACCATAGTCCGAAGTATTTTCAATAAGGTCCTCCATATAACAACCGAACCCTGATAAGTTAGTGGTGATAGATGGAACACCCATAACAGTACATTCGGCAGGTGTGTAACCCCAAGGTTCGTAATAGGATGGGAAAACACCCAAATGACAACCTCTGACAAATTCATCGTAATCTAACGACAAAATAGGGTTATTAGCATTCAAAAATTCTGGATGGAAAATGATCTTTACTCTATCATCCGGCTTATTAAATAATTCAACCCTTCTAATATGGTTTAATACAGGATCTGTGGAATCGTCAGTCATGTTATGGGTGACGATTGGTGGTAAACCATCTCTTTTCAAAGCAAAGATTCTTCTCTTTAATAAAACCCTATCAGCAGGTTTAATCAAATCATCAATGGATGGAACTTCATTTCCATTGGTGGTTGTGGTTGAGTGATTGTTCGGAAATCTAGCACAATGCTCGAATAATCTTTCACCGACTTTCTTTTGGACTTCCTCAATGGTACCTTCCAATTGCTTGATAACAGCTTGACCCTTCAAGGTTTCAACAGTGTAGGAGTTAGTTTTACCAGGCATAATTATGAAGGCAACGATGGTCATTTTCGATCCAGCCTCCTTCAATCTATGATTTAATCTAGCTAATGATTCAACGAAAAAGTCACAACCCTTATTTCTAAATTCGTATCTACCGGCAATAAAGAAGTATAAAGTATTATCCAAATCGAAATCATAATTTCCGTAAAAGTGACCTTTGACGAATTCATTGATCTTTTCCTTCTTCAAAGCATGCAAGTTTTGGAACTCGTGGACTGCTTGGAACTTGACCACATTCAAACCATTCGGCAAGACACCATCAGGCTTTCTCTTCAATAAATGTTCAGCTTCAAAAGCAGTGATATGAGAAACGGTCGTGAAAACATCTGCCGAGTGTGTGGCAGATCTCTCAATACAATAACGATGGTAAATACCTCTCTTTCCTGCTTCAGCATCTACATCGAAATTCGCTAAGTTGTTATAGAAATCAGTAGACCCAGCACACAAATATCTTCCTAGCAAAGTAGCATGAGTAGTGAAAACCGTGGTGACATCAATTCTTCTCTTACGGCACAATGGCAATGCAATTCCGGCCAACCATTCATGACAATGACAAATAACAGCTCTTTCACGATCATGGTACACCAATTCACCCAAAAACCATGCAACTAAGTATCCCAATAAAATGGCTTCGCTACTTTCTTGATCGTGGTCCGGGGTTGGAATACCCGCAATGTTCCACAAATCTGCTTTCCACTCATTAAGATGGTTTCCTGCCGAATGGATATCGAACAATAACACTCTAGGTGCTCCCTCAATCAACCAACGCCCATACAACCATCTGATACCCCTCTCACTCATTGAATCCAAAGCCTTCATGATCAACGGATCCTTTACTGGCAACTCCTCCACCTCAATCTGAGCTGAATTATAATTCAATGGTCCTATTAATGTATACCGTTCCCTATACTCAGCAACGGTGATAGGGGCCTTCGATTTCAACACCGAATAGATGCCTCCAACCTTGTGTGCCACTTCTGTGGCCACTTCAAAAAGTAAATGATTTTTAATGTCCCTAGTCATAATCCCTTATTTCCGCAATCAATGAATGGATTACTATCAAAAATCGTTAGCTTCTGTTTTATAAACTTATCTCGATAAAATTTACCAATGAACAACACGTCGACGATCTTCAAATCAATTTTTCTGTGAATTGGCCGGGTATGATGTATTTATTCAACAATCCCCCCTGGCCCGTTATTTTGCAAGCAAAAGAGCTGAAATTATGTGGGTAACTTCCTATAGTGAATGATCAGCTTATATGCAGAATGCCTCTAATTGAACGACGTATATAATTAAAGAGTAAGTGTTTTATGCCCTTGAGACTTACTTGTACTATAACAGGTATCTACAGGGCATTCTTGACGGTGGCTACGGTCTGAGGTGTTAGTACGATGGCATTTATGGTGTAATAAAGTAGAAAAAACCTGAAGTAGTTGCCAGTTTTGTGCAGAGCTGGTTAATTCATTCATGTGAGTTTCTCGTAAAATAGCGAGGAAGTGGTGCCCGAGAGAGTTTATCGGGGACGAGAGACGCTCTCTACCAGGTACATTACGTATTCTGTGTAATGAGTGCACACTGCACTCTTAAAATGGCCAACAAAAGTCCGAATTGAGTCCACGGATGGGGAACTTTGCTAATAGTCGCAGTACATTAGCACCGCAGGGTAATATTGGGACATAAAGTGGGGGAGCGGAGGAAATTTTTCACTGTTGACTATAAACCAAATTGGGTTAGGGATCTAAGGTTATAGGTTAGTGACAAGAAACTGACAGGAGGCTGGATGTGTGAATGATTGTTCGGATAATTACAGTCGGCCGGATAATTATGATTTTAAATTTTAGAGTTATAGTTTCCATATCATAAGTTTTTATAGTTTAAACGATGAGGTTAGTCTAATAGGAAATTTTACAGATCCTGCGTGGATTGAGGTTATCTTTATGGGTTTGAGACCTTGATCTTATGTACGAATGCTAGATATGGTAGTATAATAGAGGCTGTACGTAGGAATGAGTTGGGACGAAACAAATCAGGCCTGAACTGGTGAGCTTCGGATTCCAACCGTCAGACGCACCATGTATGAAAAAGCTAAGGCGTATTAAGCGGTCTGGATTTGGCTCAGAGTATGCAATATCTATGGGTTATCGGTGTAAATTAGAATAATATTAAGTATATATAGATGTAGGTATTTACTGATGCTTTTTGATCACTCCATGGACTCGTCTGAGTCAGAGTCTGAATCCGACTCGTTGGAGTTGAAAACGTCCGATTTGGTATTTTTCTCCTCGATGCCGAACCATCCTTCGTCGTCCTCGTCTTCTATAATGTCATTTTCATCGTCGCTGCCGTCGATTTGTATATTTTGTGCCGTTTCAAATTCTTCTGAATCGTTTTCTGCTTCGACTTCGGCGTCTTGAACGTCTGGCTTTGTGGTCAAGAACGAGTAGGCGTATCCATTCTTCTTCGAGATGCTTACTACGTCCTTGGCGATTCTAGCGAGGAATCTTTGAAGCAACCTTAATGAGCTGGTAAAGTCGCTCTTATTGCTATTGATATATTTCCCGTGGCTGGTGAGTAAATTCTGAACCCAAAGCAAGTTGAATTCTAAATGAGGTGAGTTCAACGAAAGCTTGCCCACAAATTGTAACATTCTGTCAAGATACACGATTGGTAAGTCATTAGTTACTAACTTTATATCTTTGATCGGTATCGATTCATACACTTTATGGATAAGGTAATTTTCATTCAACCTGAAGGCCATTACAAGAGCCGTTAAGTAATCTTTCTCATTCAAAGTTTCAATTGTAGCTTCAGGAGTAATATCGATATCTAAATCAAATGGGTCGAAAACTAATGTATTGTCTATGGAATAGACCAATAATCCTTCGGTAGATGCAGCCGCAAATGCTGACAGAGTAGGAGAAAACGATATGGAAGTAACCCTGATTTCTGGCCTAATGTTTCTTGCACTTGGGTCACCTTTATGCGATCCTGGTAAAGAAGTATCTATTCTATCTTCTAAATCGGAATTCTCTCCATCCCTATCAATGAGATCAAGAGAGCCTGCTTCAGTCATTCTTGAACTATTAAGCATACCTAATGTACCATTTAATTGCATGTTTTGGGATACAGTAAATCTCTTTAATAAAACTTCGTTGGAAATATCATAAAGACATATAGAATTGTTATTACCAGCAGCAACCAACGATAAACCATCAAATGAATAGTTTAAAGTTGTAAAGTACTTAGATCTAGCCAGGTTCTTAGCGCTGAATCTGTCTTCCAAGTATCTTCCTCCAATAATATCCTTCTTTCCATCTATAAGGTGTATTTGTTTTGCGTCTTCCACATCCCATATAGTAATATGTCCATCTAAAGTAGTAATTGCTACTTCTTTTGAATCGGGTCTCAATGCAATACTTAATACATCAGATTGAATTTCAATTGGTTCGACTTGTTGGGATCTGCTAAAAATATTCCAAACTCTGATTGTCTTATCCCATGATGCTGATGCTAATACCGAGTTTTCAGTACCAAAAGCTAAACATGAGATTGGTCCTTCATGTCCTGTTAATGAGTCTAAAAGCTGTGCCGTTTGAACAGACCAGACATATATTTCAAAAGTATCTTGGGAACCTGCAACCACAACTTCTCCACTTGGGTCAACAGCTAATGAATTAAACTGAACTCTTTCTGTAGCTGTGAATGTTCTGAAGTTTCTAAATCTAATTAAATCCCATGCTCTGATTGTTCCATCTAAGGATGACGAAAATAATACTTGACCTTTTTTAGCAAACTGGACTGCCGTAACTGAAGACGTATGCTCTTGGAAAGTCATTAAACAGAAACCAGATGCAACATCCCAAATCTTTATTTTTCCATCATCAGATGCAGTTACTATTCTGGAACCATCAGGAGAATAACATAATGCATTCATGGAATCAAAGTGACCTTGCTGCTTCAAAATATATGATTCAGATTGCCATTCATAAACCAACAATTGACCAAGTTTGGATGATCCAAATGCGAGCCATTCACCAGTCTTATTAATATTCACCGTACTGACTGCATTTTGTCCCATGCTCAATTGTTGGATCATATTGAATTCGGGTAAGTCATATAATCTGAATTCACCGTTAGTGAAACCCACAATCAATAAATTAGACTTAGGATGGAATGTGGCACATTTGACATTTGCATTAGAATGGAAAAAATTCTTAGCAGTAATTCTCCAGCTCATTGGCTTCTTGCTTTTCACTTCATCATCATTCATTTCGCTATCACTATCGCTTTCCTCTTCTTCTTCATCGGATTCGTCGGATGGTCTTTCAGTGTATTCCCATTGGAATAATGCACCATCTTTACTTATAGTATATATAATTTCCTGGGTCTCATTGAAGAATGCCTTGATGACATAGTCACGATGTCCAGCCAACGTCATCGCTACCTCCTTTTCTTTCGACAGCAATGAAAAAATTCTCGATGACATGTCCTTGGATGTTGATATGAAAAATCTCGAATCATTTGACCAAGTAACGGATGTAACATCACTGTAATGGCCAGCATATACTCTATGACGAACAAATGGTGCAAATTGTCGATCTTCAGTGAAATCTGGTGTTTTCCATACCTGAATGAATCGGTTACATGCAATGGCAAAATAGTGCCCGTCAGGGCTGAACTGCAAATCCAGTACCTTATCCTTGAAGTTGAAATGATGCAACACAGTTCTGGAAACAAAATTCACCAAAATGGCTCTTCCTGTTTCATCGACCGACAAAAGTAACGTCCCCTGTTTATTCAACGCAATTCTGGATATATTTCTTCTATGTTCATAATTAAAAGTAAATGACTTATTATTTATCAAGTCGAAGCACGATACTCTGTTACCAACTGGACTTAATAATTTGGTACCATCTTCAGTGTATACTAAATTTCCTTGTCTATACACAGTTCCTAACAAGTTTGAAAACTTGAAATCGGACTTCATTGGTATATGCTATGTTTCTACTTTATTATATGGCGTATCTACCTATATTTCCAACTAGATCATCAAGTGCCAAATCTTTTTTAGGTGATGAGCTTCTCGCTTTACTGAAAAAAATTGAAAAATTATGGTAAATGTTACCCGGAAGTTATGCCTTATATACTAGTGGTACTAATATAATGGTATTATAGAGTACTAATAGATTATATACAGATATTCAACGACACATTCATCATGGGTAACCTCTCGGATAGAGTCATGAACATGAAGTTCATGCGGAAATCAGATGCTGATAAAGAAGACATTAACAAAGAAGAACAACAGAAGAAAATCCAAGATATGTCTGAATGGGTATTACCGAATTCTACTACGCTTATAGCCAAAAATCAGTCTTCAAATGTTGTCCAATCTATAGGTTACGCTAGTATAAATTCTCTTTCGATGGACGAGAAAGATGAGCAAGCTAATGATACGCCAATGCCGGCGAATGTGGGAAGAAAAACTTGGGGAGAGCCAGTACCAAAAAAGAGTGAAGAAACAGAACTAGAGATAACGAAATTAAAAGATTCTATACCCAAGAAAAAGGTGTGTATTTTTCTAGAAGCGTTCTAAGGTGATAGCATGTTACTAACAATTTACAGGGAAGAAATCCGAAGAAAGGTGACGGCAAAGGTGGAGAACAGAGCAATGAGCCTGAACAGGAACCAGAATTGGACACTAAAGATTTCTTGGAGTCTCTATGGAAGAAGAATAATACGCCTACAGATAAAGGATCTAAGAAAAGGAAGACCGACAAAAAGGATGATTATGTTCCAGATATTAAGAATAAACGGAAAAGATTCACTAATGTATAAGATATTTTGCATTCATTTTTTCTTCTTCCTCCCATTATTTGCATTATTACTCTGTACATTAGGATTGACGAATTCTCCTTTAACAACTGCATCCCTAGCAGCTGTGTTAATATGCTTGAATCTATCGGGTCCTAAGTGGGTACCTCCAAACCACCTACTTACGACCACTATTACATTCCATGCATCCATCATCTAATTAAACGTTAGTATATCATACAATAGAAAGCCGTGCCATGCACTCAAGACATGCAATAGAACAAAATACATACTGTTAATAAATGTAGTACCCTTCCTCCCGCAGCTGTTTCGCCATCATCGTCACAATCTTGGTATTGAATTCCATTATCTTTCTTGATTCTCCAACTACTTATATTGTGAGCCGATTTGGCAATCTTCTTATCCGTCACCAAAAGTTCTAAATACTCTACTGCTTCCTCAACTGAATCAACCCTTCGCGCATATCCAATGAAGGTGGATCCCCTATCTATTATCGGATCTGATTGAATCCATCCTTTCAAAGGATCTATGCCAACCGTCTTAGAATTTGCTTGCACAGAAGGACATATCGTTGGAATCTTACTATTTGCTAACTCCTTCTCATCAGTTGTATTTCTAGAGATTTTTAGTTCATCCATATCTTTCTGTATATCGTTTTCCCTACTTAAGTACTTCTCAAAAAGATCCTCTAATTCCGTGAATAATTCAAAAATGCAGACTTCCCCTTTATGGAATATCCTCAAAAGTGTCTCCTTAATCTGAGCTTCCAAATAACTTGTATCCGTATATTTTCTCGTATTGTTATTAAGGACCTGGATAACAGTGGGCATTTCATCAGGGTAGTTCTCCAGGAAGCTAATTTGAATTTCCAAATCATCGTGCTGTGGGATTTTTAAATTATAGACCTGAGGTGCAACCTCCGATGTAGAATCGGGGTATATAGCATCAATGGCACTAACTTCGTCATGTAATTCTTCGACTGTCATATAATGTGTATATTATTAACTATCAAATCATGGAATAAATGCATGCCAAAAATTTATTTGTTTTGGAATCGCATCCCAAATATATTCTTCCAATAAATACTGCAAAGGAAAGATAATTATCACCAAGAAAATGCCTACAGCTGACGAATTAAAGGCCCAAGGGAACAAAGCTTTTGCAAATAAAGAGTTTAAAAAGGCAGCAAAAATTTATAGGGATGCCATTAAAGTGGATTCAACGAACCCTGTTTTATATTCAAATAGGGCTCTATGCTTCATAAAAGAACAAGATTGGGATCGAGCTTTAAGAGATTGTAAAGATGGATTATCTCTTAGTCCTAACCTAAGTACTAAAGTCAAACTAATGTATCGACAAGGAATTGTCCATAAGAATCTCAATGATATACCGCATGCCATAGAATGCTTTAATCAAGCAGTGAAAATTGATCCACAGAATATAGCAGCTATCGATGAATTGAAGGCCATTCAAAATTCTCCTAATAAGAAGCCTAAATTGCGATCTAATTCATCCATTGCAATACCAATCAGAGATGTAAATAGCTTACCGGAAGAATTCCTGTCATTGCTAAATGCAAAACCTAAAAGTCCTGGTGAATTGGTTCCCCCAAAACCTACGAAACGGTTGGATGACGAAATAAATGAACTATTTGGCAATAAACCATCCACAAATACTTCTGAGAAGCCAAATCCTAATTTGGTTAATTATACTTCTTTCTCAGATAGGCCAAGTATGCAAATCTTGTCAATGTTGAGTACATTACCTGAAAATCAAAAAATTGGCGCATATAAATACATTGCAACCTTGACCCCCGAATATTATAATGATGTGTTTGGATCTACTGGAATTGATTCGGAGTTCTTGGTATTTTTCATAGAGGCCGCAGCCTATATTTCCAGTCATAAGGCTATAAACGATTGGGAAATGACGGTGTATGATTTAATATCAACATTTTCAAAGTTACGTAAATATCAATTATCTTTACTGTTTTGTTCCAAGGATTATATCAACGAAATAATCAATAATGTGAGCGGATTGGGTGACAAAATGCTATTGGAAAACTACAAATCACTCTTAATGCCATAAATATTGAACAAATAATATATTTTATAACCAAGGTTTATATATCACTCATCTGAGTCCGAGTCTGAATCGGAATCAGAGTCTGATTCTTGTACCACACGATTGTAGACTATCCTATTTGGAGTTTTTCTTCTTAAGAACATTGAAGCTTTATTGATTTTGTGCTTAGATGCCATTTCAATTATATGGTCTTTTACATCGAAAGGTGAAATACCTTTACTTAATAAGTTTGATACTAGCCCAGTAACTATTGGAGCCGACATTGATGTCCCTGAAAGCACTTGTGGATAACGATGGTCTTTAGTGTTGACGCTTTCTACAAATGTTCCACTCGCAAACACATCAACGCACTCTCCCCAATTGGAAAATGTTGCTAATCCATCAGTTTTATCATCTATAGCTCCCACAGTTATGGCAGATGATGCGCTAGCTGGACTTGTGATACAAGCATTAATATTAGAGTTTCCGGCTGCTACTACCATAACCAAACCTGTATCAAAGGCTGCATCGACTGCCTTATTTAACACAGCATTCTTCGTTGCCCCCAAGGAAAGATTAGCAACCCCAGGCTTTCCGCTGATCTTTCTGTGGTTCACTGCAAATTCAATTGCTGCTATAATAGTACTCAATGAGCCGGCACCGCTTTTATCCAAAGCTTTAATTTCAACAATATTAACATTTTTGGATACGCCATAAGATCTAGATCCTATAATTCCTGACACGTGTGTTCCATGACCATTTGTATCTCCGAAACCCTCTTTCGTGAAGTCCTTGCCTTTGAAAGCCCTTCCTTGAAATTCGGGATGATCAATCATAACCCCAGAATCTAGCACATAAGCATTTACCCCATTGCCTGTGCAAGATGTGTCGTAGTAATAATTAAATTCGTTGCCAGTTAGCTTATTCTTTTGGGATAACCTTGCTAGGTGCCTCGGAGAATCTGTTTGAATCCCCACGTCGAAAGCATTTATAATTATGTCGGGCGTTAAGTCAGCGACCAAAGGACATTTTTTTAATCTTTCTAATACAGCTTTGGAAAAATCACCCGAGAAGCCAGTAAAATTCCCTATTGCAAAGGAATTGTTAATTAAAGCTTTCACCCTTTGACTCAGGGGATAATTGACATCATACTTAAAAAATGTATCTAATGTTTCAGTCGATTTTAGCGAAACAAGATAAGGAACAGCTGCAATAAATATTGGGTTGCAACATAAAACGACAAAAAAAAGGTACTTTACTAGAAGCATACTTTAAATAATAAATAATATACAAAGGAAAAGCATAACTTGGTTTCCAGCATAGAGCTAGTATGATTTGGCTATGTGGAAAGGATGCAAAAAAATGTTTGTGCAACTCTGTGCGGCGTAAAGCTCTACATTCAAAAACTCAAAATTCAAACTTTATATATACATTAAATTATTATAAAACAAATAAATTCTAGTTTTCTCTACTTAGAATCAGTATTTTAAGGATGCCGCAAATTCGGATCTTTGGTCCTCTGGAAGGTTAGATAAGAAATCTTTAATAACGGAAACCGAACTTTCAGGATCCTCTCTCAAGATATTGACTAAGTTTTGGCGAGCGGATTCGTGTTTCAATTCTTCAATTCTCTTCTGCAATTTAGAGTGGTTCTGCTCGATCCAATTGCTGACAGCCATATCGTCTTCGTAGTCAACTGTTGGCATCCAACTCTTCAATCTGGCAACCTTTTCTAATTTGCTGTCTGATTTGATTTGTTCACCAATAAGTTTCAACAAGTATTCTTCATTCAAACGACGACGTAAACGCCAGAAAAAGGTACGACGTGCTTCTGGCCAGTTGATTTCTTTTCTAATGACACCCTTGGCTAACATACGACCAGATCTATCGTGGAGGTCAGCAAATTGAACTGAAATCTGAGCATAAATTGGTAATAATGCCTTCTCACGGGTAGTCAATTTAGCAGAAATTTGAGCATGTTCCTCTGGTGACAACTTGCTTTCGTTTAATTGCTTTTTAAGATCCCTGTATGTTGGATCTAATCTTTCTATGGTAGATAATAACTTATCACGTCTGTATTTAATACCAACCATTCCCTCAGGCTCCAAAACACCTGCTCTGGAATTGACATCAGCATACATTTCCATCATATCAGCATTAATGGTTGGGTCAACAACAACCCATGAACCACCTCTTAATTCACCATTTGGTGGAATATAAGTGAAAATTGGTTGCTTGAAATCAACTAAGGCATCAACAATAAAAGAACCGTATTTAAGAACTTCATTAAACATATCACGTTGACCACCAGAGAAACCTCTCCAGTTAGCCAAAATCATTAATGGCAATTGTTCACCATGGTTGAAATCGTTAATAGCTTGAGCAGTCTTAAAAGCAGAGTTTGGATACCAAACTTGACCGGCTTCTTGAATCATCATTTCAGTAGAATCTGGATTAGCAGGATCGGCAGGTAGTAAGTTGTCCATAGTCCTTGTTTCGACACCAATGACACCAATTGGTATACCACCAAGACGTGCTCTACCAACAACAACACCTTTGGCCCAACCGGATAATGTTTCTTGGAAAGAATTCTTATCAAATAAACCTGACTCGAATTCGCCGTTATCTAACTGTTTTCCTTCTATCATCCAACGAACATCATATGGTTCATCCTTAGGTGGAACATATTCAACCTCTCTATCCCAACTGTCTTCACTTTCCAAAATAGGAATTGGCATATCACGCTTAGCTGGGACATAAGACATCCATTCCATAATCTTCTCAACACCTGCTAAATCATCTGAAGCTGTAAGATGGGAAACACCATTACGATACATAATTTGAGTACCACCTAATTGTAAGTTAGACGAATAGACATCTCTACCTAATAACTTATTAATAGCTGGAGCACCAGTTAAAATGATTGGTTGACCTTCAACTTGAATAGCTCTTTGACCTAACCTAACCAAGTAAGCACCAATACCAACCGATCTACAAGTCACTAAGGTAATAGTGAAAATATCTTTATATGCCCTTGAGGTACTACCAGCAATCAAACCAGATCCTTTAAGACATTCAACACCTAAACCATCTTCTTCTCCAACGATCGACTTGATGACATATCTTTCCTGACCTTCTTCAACGATTCTTTCAGTGACAACTGTATCAGATTTTCCAGCTTCATCAATGTTCTTCTTATCTTCAGGAGTCAAGTATAAGTATCTGAAACCCTTGTCTGGAGAACCTTCAACATTCCAAGCAACATTGAAAAGTGGAACCAATTCATCAGCAATACCAATTCTGGCCCCGGAGTTAGCCGAAAGATAAATTCTTGGAATACCTAATTTCCTAGCTAATTGAGTACATTTGTTGAAGAATTCATCTTCTTCTGGACCAAATGAACCAATTTTATGGGTAATATCATTGGCAACAATAACAAATTGACGGCCGCGAGGATACTCTGGGGTTTTGGCAGTTACCTTGAATCCAACCATACCAATCTTGTTGCTGCCAGGATCACGTTCTACTGCAGTCAAATCTCCATTCTCGTCAGAAATTAATTCTAAAGATGAAAAGATTTCCTTAGGGACTTTTTCTTTTGGATGGTTTTTCCATTGAGAAAGAGTAGCCTGGCGGAATAATTCTGGGAAATCATAAACGTAAGTAGTACCCATATTATGAGCCTTATAACGTTTTGGCTGCAACGATTCCTTTGCTGGATAAGGAGTTGAAATTGGTCTCAAGTGCATGGAACCCGTAGAACCAATTGATTTGAAAACCCATTCACCCTTAGTGTTTTTGACTTCCATATACAACTCGGATTTAACAACGTAACCTGAGACATTAGTGATGATTGCACGCAATGGGAATGAATTACCAGTATTTGGATCAGTACATGCAATTCTAATTTCAGCCCCAGTCACACGTAATCTCCACAATCGTCTACCGAATCTCTCTAAAAATGAGCCAAACGCGGCTTCGACTTCCTCAGGTAAGACATTAAATACGGCAGAAAAATTGATGAAGATATGATTAAGATCTGAATTAGAAGTATCAATAACCTCAAGTGCATCCAAAATACTTGACATCAAACGATTAGATTCGGCAATCAAGTATTCACTAATACTTATATCATTACGAATAATTCCAGTTCTAATGATACCTCTTGTAAAGAATCTCTTATCAGATGGAGAGTTCTTACCAACAGCTTCATAAACATGAATATTTCTGTTGTCGGTAAATATTGGCTTTATGTCGAAATTATCCAATCTTCCCAATTCCAATTGGAATGCCAATGCAGGCTCAATGTGACGGATAACCTTATTCTCAACATAATCTGGTGCGGTAAAAGTAAAGTATTTAGGATAAACACCAATCTTATTAGCAAATACGAAAGTGATACGACGAATAGAAGCTGACTTAAGGTCTTCTCTAAATTCATCGAGAATTTCATGAACTCTGGCCAATACTTCCTCTTCATTGTTGTAACCATCAATATTCGTTACGACAATGTTGAAAACATTTAAATAAGAAACTTTAGATTCCTCCGACTCTTTAGCCTTGAACGTAATACCATCTGATGGTTGGATCTTTTCTAATGCTGCAGTAATCATTTCATCCACGTCATCAAGATGTCTACAAGGTACTAAAACACCAATTCTTGTCTTTTGTTCTTTGTTTTGATCGACGACAAAAGACAAATCAGAAACAGATGCGGCACGGTTCATAGCAGGCTGATCTGAATTCTGAGTTTGTTGAACACCAGTTAGCTGGGATGAGTTAAGACTTGGCAATTGGAATTTCCATTCAATGATCGGTAATTTGTCATGGAAGTCATAAGTAATTGGTCCCAAAGAGTATGCTCTATATGAACGACGAACGTAAACTTCTGCAGCCGCGATGGAGACCCATTCATCTTGATTGACTAAAAATTGAGGTAACACGTCAAAGACTGTGTGCTTAGAATCAACAACCTCGCGAATAATATTTAATCTTGGAGTACGGTGATTAGCATAGATCTCACC